TTCATGAGTCATCAGCTCTGACAGCAGAGCAGGGGTCCTGAATGGTTGAAGGATGCTCTGGGAAGGGCTGCTATAATGAAGGCCCAGCTGCTGCTCAGTTCCCCCTCAGTACCCCTGAGGCAACCTCTGTGGTCAAGTAGGACCCTCCCAGGTAAGGGGACTGGGATATTTTTCTAGAACTGGATGCCATAAAAGGATCGACATTCCAGTCTCGGAACAGCTTAGCAAATAACAACATTGTGTGTAATTCCCAGCAGCAAAGTGCTGAGACTGAACGGATGTCATCTCAGTGTCATTTAGAAAAGTAGCTTGGAGGAGGGGGGTGGTCAGCAAAGCTAAAAATCAGCCATAGGCACACTCTGCAGATTCCTGGGTGCCCTGAAATCCAGAGGGACCCTGAAGGTAGTGAGTGCTGCTTCCCCATGAGGTTGTTAATTCCTGAGGAAGGTGACAGTGAATCTGCTGACAATTCATTTGTAAGTGCACATTACTCAACTTCCTTTTGGGATCAAGGTCATGGAGTAGATTCTCCTTCTCTGCTGCAGGCATTGAGCTGTCGCGTCACAACTTCTGCATTTTGGGGTTGTCATTTTACTGTCTTGTACTGCAAACAGGTGTGATCATCCAGTTGGAAAACAGATGAACTCAAAGATTAAATAGAGATCAAGATTTCAGTTGATATTTGATTGAGTGGGGGTTCACTCCTAAATCCTTTTTATTCACAGACTTTATGCAAAATTTCTGCACTCAGAAATGGGAGAATTTATAGCATCGGAGTAACTCATGGCAGCCTCTAGCACTGGGATGTTGTGGTTAGCTCTGGATACCATAACAGAACATCATAGACTGTATGACAGAAAGACCAGAGATTATTTCCCTCACAATTCTGGGAGTCTGAGATCAGGGCACCAATATGGCTTGAAAGTGTGGTGAGGGCTCTTTTTCTGCTTTGCAGAAAACCACTTTCTTGCTGTGTCCTCATCTGGGGGAGAGAGAGAGAGAGAGAGAGAGAGAGAGAGAGAGAGAGAGAGAGAGAGAGAAAGAGAAAGAGAGAAAGAGAGAAAGAGAGAAAGAGAGAAAGAGAGAAAGAGAGAAAGAGAGAAAGAGAGAAAGAGAGAAAGAGAGAAAGAGAGAGAAGCAAGAGCAGTTTATGGTGTCTCTTCTTAGAAGGCGACTAAGCTCATTATGAAGAACCTACCTTCATAGCTGAATCATATCTCTTCCCAAAGATCCTTTCTGCAAATGCTAAGGTAATGGGATTGAAGCTTCACTGTGAGTACTGACGGACACAATGCCTTCCACAGAAGGACTGAGGTTGGTTCAGATGGGCTCTGTAGGAGCTGGCTTAGCCTAGGGGGTGTCCCATAAGATGATCAGAGGGCAAGATGAAGTTCCTGAGAGCTTAGAGCATAGTGTGGGGATGGCTAGCAATGGTTTATGCTCACATAGAGCAGTTATGTGTGAGGCACTGTTCAGAGTACTTTACATACGTTAATTCACTGAACCCACTAAGAACAGTAAATAACTATTATCCTTATTTTACAGATGAGCAAATTAAGTCACAGGGAGATGAAATAATGTCTGCTACCCACACGGCTATGAAGTGTGAGATTCTAACCACATACTCTAGTTTTAGAATTTGCCTTTCTAACTAAGACAGATTTCAGCTACCTCTCTCAGAGAAACCATTTCTTCCAGGAAATCGGGATACTAGGAAGGGGGATTTCCTTGCTTTCCACCCATCATCTCTGGAAAAGTGGGCATGTGGCTGAATCTGATTTTGCATGAATGGTGTAGCTGCAGGCAGTGGGGAAAGAGCAAATAAGGGATGCAGGAACCGACCTGCTTGGGCCCTGGATTTCTGCTGTGTTCCTCACCCTTCACTTCAGCTGGGCAGGCTGCCCGCTGACACTGTTTTCAGGTGGGATTCTCATAGGGCAAATGGCAGGTTTGCTGGTTTTGTCAGCAAGGAAAGGACAGAGATGGAAATCTTACCAGCTGCTGCTGCCCAATAGCCAGCCTGTGTCAGGAATTAGAGATAAAAATAAGTGGAAATTGTCTTTGGTGTTGCTGTTGTTCTAATATCTGGATGGTCTGTGTCTAATTCTGTGTTGTTTATATTTAGTTCACCTGAGACCAAAGTGAAAAGCTTTGAAAAGCTTTGGTCCTCTGCCGTTCCCCATTTAGTCCCTCTGTCCTGCTTTTGCCTTTATTATCTCCTCTCTCCAAACTGAACTCCATGAAGGCAGGGACTGTACTGTTTATTCCACTCAGTGCTGTGTCCATAAGGGTTTGATAAACACATTGGTAGGTTATAATGTTTACTGAAGGAATAAACAAATGAATGCATTGAATTAAGTCTGACTTGCTGTAGATGATAGGAGAATTGACACAATGAAGAAATGGGAAACCCTGTAACAATTTACTTTATCATAGGTATCTTAAAAAAAAGATTTTAGAGAGCGAGAAGCAGAGAGAAAGGAGGAGAGAGAGAGAGAGAGAGACAGAGAAAGTGAAAGTCCTCCATCTGTTGCTTCACTCCCCAGATGGCCACAATAGCTCGAGCTGTACTGATCCAGAGCCAGGTGCAGGGGCCCAAGGACCTGGGCCATCTTCCACTGCTTTTCCAGGCCACAACAGAGAGCTGGAAGGGAAGTGGAGCAGCCGGGACTCGAACTGGTGCCCATATGGGATGCCAGAGCTACAGGTGGTGGCCTTATCCACTGTGGCACAGTGCTGGCACTATCATAGGTATCTTTCAGTTTATTCTATTCTTCCCTTCAGAGCCCATTAAGAGACAGCTTCTATGAGGATCTTGGTGCCATTTCATTGAGGTGTCTCAGTGTATTTTTTCAGTACAGAGCAATCTCAGAGTTGCAGGTACTTCAGTGGTTGCCCTGATCATGCAACATCTTTCCATGTAGTTGGGGACGGTTTCCAGGAAGATGTATTATAAGAATATGGGTTATACATGGGTACTTCCAAAAAGTTAATGGAAAATAGAATTCCGATATAAGCAGTATACAGGAGGGCATTTGTCCTAGAGGTTAGGAGGCCAGTTGAGAATCCTGCATCCCCTATTGGAGTACTTGTTTTTTTATACCCATCTCTAACTCCCGACTCCTGATGGCTGTTAATACAGACAGAAAGAATTGGTGATGGTTCAAATAATTGGGTTTCTACCACTCAAGTGGCGAGGCCTGGACTGAGTTCCCAGCTCAATGTTGTGTAAATGTTGTGAGCATTTGAGTTGTAAACCAGTGGACAGGAGCTACCTGTCTATCTCTCTGCCTCCTAAATAAATGAAGTTTTTTAAAAGTACATTTTGGAACAAAAATTTTTATGTGCATGAATAGAAGGTATGTTTAATAGGAAAATATATATTATGAAAAATCTCTTCATAGTTTTTAATTTTTTCCCTACAAACAATCTTTTAGTTACATTTTCCACATTTTAAAGAACCCTCTCATACACACACACACACACACACACACACACATATGTTAGGCTTTCCTCCAAAGTGCCAGTTTCTAAAATAATTTTCTGAAGTCGGTGGGTTGGATTATTTTCTCTGTCACCCCCACTCTCACCCAGGGTGAGTTTTTTTTTTTTTTAAGATTTATCTATTGATTTGAAAGTCAGGGTTACAGAGTGAGATATGGAGAGACAGAGAGATCTTCCATCTACTTGCCTACTCCCCAGATGACCACAAATGCTAGGGCTGGGCCAGGCTGAAGTCAAGAGCCAGCAGCTTCATCCAGCTCTTTCATGTGGGTAGCAGGGGCCCAAATGCTTGGATCATCTTCTGTTGCTTTTCCCAGGCCATTAACAGGGAAGTGGATCAGAAGTTGAGCAGAGCCAGCATTGAGGCAGAGAGGGTAAAGCATCTGGCATCCCATAGGAGTGCTGGTTCAAGTCCAAGCTGTTCCACTTCCAATCCAGCTCCCTGCTAATGTACCTGGGAAAACAGTGGAACATGGTTCAAGCGCTTGGGCCCCTCCACCCATGTGGGAATCGTGGATGAAGCTCCTGGTTCCTGACTATGGGCCTGGCCCAGACCTGGCCATTTTCACTATTTGGGGAGTAAACCAGAGGATGGAAGAATCTCTGTCTCTCTTTCTCTCTCTCTCTCTGTCTATTCTCCTCTCTCTGTAACTCTTTCAAATAAATAAATAAATCTTAAAAATAAGAAGTAGAGGAGCCAGGACAGGACTGGCACCCATACAGCTGCTTTACATGATACACCACAACACAGACTCCAAGGGTGAGTTTTTTTTTCTTTAACGATTTATTTATTTTTATTTAAAAGTCAGAGTTGCGCAGTGAGAGGAGAGGCAGAGAGAGAGAGAAAGAGAGAGAGAGATGTCTTCCATCGGATGGTTCATTCCCCAGTTGGCCTCAACGGCTGGAGCTGCGCCGATTCAAAGAAGCCAGGAGCAGGGAGCTTCTTCCAGGTCTCCCATGCGGGTGCAAGAGCCCAAGGACTTGGGCCATCTTCCACTGTTTCCCAGGCCATAGCAGAGAGCCATGTCAGAAGTGGAGCAGCTTGGACTCGAACTGTCGCCCATTATGGGATGCTGGCACTTCAGGCCGTGGTGTTAACCCGCTGCACCACAGTGCTGGCCAGGGTGAGTTTTTTTTTTTTTTTTTTGACAGAGTTAGAGAGAGAGAGACAGAGAGAAAAGTCTTCCTTTACCGTTGGTTCACCCCCCCAATGGCCGCTGCGGCCAGCGAGCTGTGGGCAGTGTACCATGCTGATCCGAAGCCAGGAGACAGGTGCCTCTCCTGGTCTCCCATGCGGGTGCAAGGTCCAAGAACTTGGGCCATCCTGCACTGCACTGCCAGGCCACAGCAGAGAGCTGGCCTGGAAGAGGAGCAACCAGGACAGAATCTGGCACCTGACCGGGACTAGAACCCGGTGTGCTGGTGCTGCAGGCGGAGGATTAGCCTAGTGAGCCGCAGCACCGGCCTCAGGGTGAGTTTTTTTTTTTTTAAAGATATACATGACAGAAAAAACAAACTTGTTTTAATATACTATTTACATATTAAGTATAAACCATCGCAGTAAAAGCTTTCCGAACATTGGCAAGAAAAGCCGAAAAATTGTTGGTCTTCCTCACATTCTCCTGAAATTCCGCAAGGCACTCGAGATGAGGAGCACTATCTGACACTTCATAGTCCCTTGCTTCATTTAGACGCCAAGATAACAAAAATGGGCTCTCAGGATGCTTAGGGTCAATATTAGTGAAAATAAACTGCAATTTGTCACCATATATTTTTCGAATTTCCAGTCCACGGCGAGCTTTATACAAGTCCACAGATTTCTGCAGCCTTTTCAACCTCTCTTCATTAGCTTTGTTGGCAGTGGAGATAGTTTCCTTCTTCCTAGAATACTCTTCCTTAAGATCCTGGATATTTCTTCTAAGGTCTTCCAATTTCTGCTTTTTGTCTTTTACTTCAGCAATCAGTTTTAACAAGTTATCTTTTTTCTCTGGAATCAACTCATTCTGTCTGTTGACCTGATTTTTATATTCCAGATACATCTCAATCATTCGTTCTTCTTCCTTCAGTTTCACAGACAGTTTTTCTCTAAGTGACTTGACCGAGTCCTTGTAGGCGTCTCTTAGCCCCACCATCTGACAAGGAGCATCACTCAGAGTGCTTCTGTATTTGCTCCCAAATTCATTTATGCTTTTATCAAACAGTGCCAGCTTGTCCTCCACCATTTTGCAAGGCAATGCTTTAACTCTAGATATTCAGGGTTGATCAAGTGCCCCGGGCTTAACTGTGCTTAAAGGGGCAGCAGGAATCCAAGGCGCCTTCACCTCCTAAGGCCCTGTTAGTAGGTAAGTGTGCGAGACACTCTAGCATCCTGGGAAACGACACCGACTCCATTTCTATCACAAGTAAAACTGGTGACATCTAAGGTGACGCCCAACTCTATCCTCTCCGGAGTCCAGCATCGAGAGTCGGGAGGCCCCTCCCCGCCCGGCCTCTAAAAACAAGTCTACGGCGCCTCTCCCTCCCACCCCCGACCCCGACGCGAGCAGGAAAGTGGACGGCCGAGTGGGCACTTAGACGGCTCAGTCCAGGACGTGTACCAGGAGGGGCAGAGTCATCTTGTTCAACGAAACCCGCAACCCTTCGGCGAGGCTGCTTCCCACCCCTCCAGGCCCAAAGTCTGGAAGCGAAAGGACGCGCATTTCACAAATGCCGCCCAACATACGTACACATGTCCCATCCCCAAGCCCACGTTCTCCTACCGTCACAAGAGGGCCCAGCTCGGCACCCACCCTCCCTCACCTTGGCAGGCAGGCGTTAGCCCCACCGCCATCCATGCACTAAAATCTGCGTCACCTCTAGCCAAAACCCAGTCTTCAGCTCTCTCAGGGTGAGTTTTAACACAAGTTGTTAGAACAGCATGCTGACTCCCTCTTAGTTCTTGATGGGATCAACCAGGGCCATTGAAAATATTCTGGTGTGAACCTGTAGGTACCAAAACCTGGAGTGGAGACATGAACTGCTCCTGGTCACCTCACGTACTAAGGTGGCTGTTCATTGTCGTGAGAGTCCTTCCATTCACAGATGTCTGCTCAAGGGCAGGTGCTTTGACCTTGGAAGAAACAAAGATAAAGATTGCATCTGTCACAAGAAGAAACAGTCACATCTGCTTAGAGCCCAGAGACTTGACTTCTTGGCATTACCCTTGTCAGGGATACCTGGGTGATGTTGGACAAGTCACCTAATCTCTTTGAGTCCTACTTATGCAGTGCTAAGGAGAGGAGTTTAATGAGTTAGTTGTTGAGGCCAGGATCACAATCAGATCTGGAGATTCTGGAAGTTGCACAGATTCTGTAAGACACAGAGACAGTCATAAGATATTTTTATTGGTGTTCCGTGAATTAACATAATTAATACCTCTACTTTCAGAAAGAATCAGTCATGTGAACAACAGTTCTTGATCTCAGATTGGACAAATTTTAACTGATGTAAAAAGGAAGAAAGACCCCAGATTTGTGCTGTCCAATATGGTAGCCACCAGCCACATGTGAGTATTTAAATACAAAATAATTTAAATAAAATAAAACAAGAAATGCGGTTCCTCAGTCACGTGGCCACATTTCAGGTGATTAGGAGCCGCCTATACCTGGTGTCTGTTTTATAAGCTTCCTCTGCCACTCAGCACTGCCCTGGAGCTTTGCCTGGACCACAGGCTCCCTATCCTTGGAAAAGAGTACAGGTGTTTTGGCCCTAAGGGGACTGGGCCCATCTGTGGGGAATGAAAGAATGGATGGAAAGTCCCTTGTGGACAAAGGAGTGCAAGAAACACTTCAGGCAAAGGGTGGTTATATTGGACAAGAGTTTGAGAAATATGGAAAGGATGGGGTGTTGGGGAAGGGATGAAGAAACATGTGAACCATTCTGCGCCTTGAATCTTGACAGTCCTGGAGCTCTGGATCACCGAAGACCACAAAAGCGGAGTTCCTTATAAAGATTGTTACCCTACGCACAACTGATTCCAGCAGTGGAAGAGTGTGAGGGGAACAGGGCTGTCTTAAGCCCCAAGAAAGGAAGGGCCTTCTCGGAACTCAGTGCTGGGGAAAATGTTAGTCACTTGCGCCATGTTAAAGAAGGGAAGGTCGCTGTATAACAGTCAGTGGCAGGAATGGGTAGAAGTCAGGCTGTCTTGAAATGAGGAAGAAGGTAGCCACTTTGTCTGGAGCCTGGCAACTTAATTACAGATCTGTGCAGTCAAAGCCATCTTGTACCTTGAGGTGTAGGCTTCTGTGTTACACAGAATGCCTGTCAAAGGAGAAGGTTGAGTTCTGCCCTCCTTGCCAGCCCCGCTTTCTGGGGGCCAAGCCTGTGGGGAGGCAACTGGGAAAGAGTGTAATTCTACCTGCTGTCTGGAAGCCTTCTGTGAAGGGAATCACCTTTGTCTTCTGAACTGACTTCCAGGTGCAGCCGTGGGGATGACACTGAAGATGAGAGCAGCAAGTTCCCTGACAGTGTTGAGGAGGAGGCTGCACGTGGAAGAGCACCTGCAGTGACATCAGTGCCAGGTTCTGGGGTTCCCTTCTGAGATCTGATGGGTCTGGCAGCTGATGGGGACCCAGAATGACAAGACATGTTTTTTAATAAGCCACATCTCAGTCGGCTTTCTGACCTCCCTGAGCGTCGCAGCTGCCTCTCTAGCCCGTATCCTTATTTCACTTTCCTCCAGATCTGCACATTGTTTTACTACTTCTATTAGTTCCATCTGCTTCCTGCCCACTCTCCCCACTTTTGCCCATTTACTCTCTGGAGTTGTGAGTTCAGAGTGAGTTGTGAGTTCAGAAAAGTAATTGTTTTAGTCCATCTTATTTCAACAGCTGTGAATGTTTCATGGCAGGCACTTGTGAAGGCACTGGGGATACTATATGACCCGGAGAGACAGCAGTTCTTGCTCTCCTGAAGGCCATCTCCTATCACGTGAGCCAAACACGCACAAATAACAACATACGTGTATTATGATTATAATTGATAATTCTAATGAATGCGGTTGTTTTCTCCTGTGTTCCCAGGTCCCAGTTTATCATCTAGTGACTTAAAACTGCCTGATGATAATTCACATAGCTGTAGAATCCATAACAACACATTTCCTATTGGCGTGGTGCTTCATTTTATTTTCATAATGGTATAAGGACACTTGACACTTTGCTTTTCTTTCAAAGGCCTCTGAAAATCAGAACACAGGAAACTCTGAGACTCAGGATGTCTTGAGACCAAGATTTTTAATGATGGTGCTATATCCCAGTAGCTGTGGAGATATAGGCAAGTCTAATCCTTCCTGAGCCTTGACTATCTTGTTGAAAAATAAGGAAGCTGTTATAGGTCTGTGAGGTCATGTCATGCTCTGGGGTGTCTCCGAGTCATTTATTGTAGGGAGCAACTGAGACTAGACTAAGTTACTGGAATTAAGACTTATTCTATGCATCTGCTCTCCCACAATATGGCGCTGGGAGAGAGAGACCAAACAACCTCTACGCAGCTGCCTCATCAGTTTGATAAGCTGCAGGAGCTGATGCTGCTCCTGATTGGAGGAGAGCAGCGTGCTTGGCGTGTGGGTAGCAGAGTTGGGATTGGTGGAAGAGGACTATAAAGGAGGAGAGAGACAACATGCACCAGGAACATCTGAAGGAACACCTGAGGAACATCTGAGCAGACCCCGAGAGAGCCGGCCGGTGGTGTGCCGCTCCTCCGTGGAAGCGGTGAAAGCAGCGGGGGTGCCGCCCCTCCATGGAGGTGGAGGGTCCGGCAGCTAACCCAGGACAGCATCGTTCCTCCACGAGTGAGGGACTGGCAGCTAACCCGGGAAGAGCCGGGAAGAAAGAACAGTGCAGGGTCCAGTGTCGTTCATCCGCGAATGGGGGAGTGACAATTTATGGAATAGATGCTGTAAAAGACACCATTAGTAACTGTGGTCAAGGCATACCCAACCCTGAGTATCTGTTTCCTTCATGAACATCTTGCTGAGCCTTTGGCCAAAGATTGCAGAACTAAGAGAGCATAATGGGAGATGCAGTGTGTGCTGGGTGGGAGATCAAGGAAGACGGGAGAAGAGTGAGGTGATAGTGGATCCTGGGGTCACAAAAGTGGGTCTGAATGAGCGTAACCTTCAGGCTGAGTTCGGGAAGCTCAAGAGAAAAGCAAAGAATGTGCACAGCATCATCAGCCTTCCTAAAGAACAACTAGTCCTGAGCAGCAAGGAATGAACAGTGCCCTTTTCCAGAACTCCTTGGATGTCTGAACAAAGAGACTGACAGAAGGAACACAGACCTGCCTTGTCTCCCAAGGAAGACCTATTCCAAGAGGAGGGGATGTGCACAGGAGGCCTTGCTCCAGACCCCAGAGCCTGGACCCTGGATTGCCCTCCCCGCGATGCCCATCAGGTAAATGTGGGCATGGATGGTATATAAACCCTTGGAGATGGGCTGGGGACGCCAATCATTACCTTCACAGTTCAGCCTTTTAGGTCAGGAGATAGAAAAGAAAGGTTCCTCTTGCTCCAAAGCAGTGGTGATAATAATGTTCTGCACATCTTCAGCCTTTAGAAAGGTTTCCACAACATTTTCTCCTAGGTGTACTTAGTTTTGCAAGTAATGCCCTGGGCATTGGCAACAGGCAATAAAGCCTGATCTATGCTCTGGAAGTGTCCACGTTGGTGAGGAAAGATGGCCCCAAACCAGACAGTTCCAATGGGTGTGACAACTGCCGTGTGTGGGGATGCACTGGTTTGGAGGCAGCATGCGGTGACATTGCTTCCTTATCCCTGCCACGTCATCACAGCTCAACACTCTGAGGGAGTTGTCAGGATCCCCCTACAGGAAGGAACTTTACTGAGGATTTTTCAAAATGGAGAAGGCAGAGGATTTGAGAGGCTACTAGGACAGGAATGCCCATGAGATGATGTTTTCTCTTTTCAACCTCTGAGCACATGGTTACCGAGTGCTTCTCCCTAGATGCAGCTGGTGCTGTGTGGTGTGCTGTTGATGCAGAGTTAAATGAAATGTTACCCCAGCTCTCCAGGAGCTCTACCTGGAAAACAAGAAACTGCCAAAAGGTATGAGAAGTGTGGTGACAGACATGTGACTTGAGTCCACGGTGAGGGAGGGGTGTCCACCTCTGTGTGTGGACACTGATGCAGTTCTTTGAAGTCCTAGTCTACTATTTCTGCTGTTCCAAATATGTAGATTCAATACTGTTTAAAAATTTATGTTTTTATATGACAGAGTGTTGGAGATGTAGAGATGGAGGGGGAGAGAGAGAAAGAAAAAGAGCAGACACTCGGACGTAACCCATAATGGTAGAGTTAGAAACGTGCCAGGGGATTCCAATTCCATCCCATCAAGGTGGCATGTACCAATGCCATCTCACTAGACCAAGTGATCAATTTCAGTTCACATCTGATCATACTGATGGGATTAAGAGTTAAAGAGATTACATAAATAAGACCAGTGTCTGCAAATAATAATAGATAGAATTTAAAAGAAGAGAATGATCCTTCGTGGGAAGCAGGATACACAGCAGACTCATCAAATGGCAAAAGCCCTAAACAGCACTCTGGCCTCAGAATCAGCCCTTAAGGCATTTGGATCTGGCTAAAAAGCCCATGAGAGTTTCGCAGGCATGGAAAGCCAAGGCACTGTGTCCAAAAAAAAAAAAAGAAAATTGACCTAAATGAAAGATCTCTGTAAGTGAGATCCCAGCAGAAAGAATGGGCCATCAAAGAAGGAGGTACCTTTCTCTGAAGGGAGGAGAGAACTTCCGCTTTGACTATGGCCCTGTCTAAATAAGTTCAGAGTTGGTGAACACAAGAGGCTTCCATAGCCTTGACAGCTCATGACAAGAGCCTCGGGTCATTACTGACATCATAAACAAGAGTGTCAATTGTTAAATCAACCACAGGAGTCACTGTGCACCTGCTCCCCATGTGGGATCTCTGTCCTTAATGTGTTGTTCTATGTGAATTAATGCTATAACTAGTACTCAAACAGCACTCTATACTTTGTGTGTCTGTGTGGGTGTAGTCTGTTGAAATCTTTATTTAGTATATACTACGTTGATCTTCTGTATATAAAGATAATTGAAAATGAATCTTGATGAAGAATGGGATGGGATAAGGAGTGGGAGATGGGGTGGTTTGTGGGTGGGAGGGAGATGTTATGGGGGAAAAGCCACTATAATTCAAAAGTTGTACTTTGGAAATTTATATTTATTAAATAAAAGTTGAAAATAAAGAAAGGAAAAGAGCAGAGAGAGAGAGAGCGCTATGGAGTTCTTGGTTCCTGGCTTTGGCCTGGTCCAGATATGGGTAGAAGGGGTCTAAGTACTTGAGCTATCATCCACTGCTTCCTAAGATAATTTAGCAGGGGTCTAGATCAAAAGCAGAGTGGCCATGACTGGCATAGGGACTCTGATATGAGATGTGGGCTTCCCAAGTTGTGATTTAACCTGCTGGACCATGGCATTTGCCCTCCCCCAATGCACTTTTAAATCATAGTAATATTTGAAGAGCATTGAGCTTTCAGAATGCAAGAACATCTTGTCCCACAGCTCCTATGGCCTTCCTTGGTATAGAAGGCCCATGTCACTCTCTTACTTAAGAGACATGGACCTGTGTGGAAAAGACACAGGACATTGGAGGATTTGAATTCTGGATCTGTCTTTGCTAGTCTGAGTGATCTAGAACAAGCCAGCTTCCCTTGCCCTGAGTGTAGGTTTCACCATCAATAAAAAGTAGGCAACTGCACCTAACTTGCAGGGCTGTTGAAAAGCTAAGAAACACTGTATCTGAAGGCCTGGTAATACCTGGTAATACCTATTAACCAGGTCAGTAACATTAGTTGTTACTAATACAGTTACAGACATCACAAAATAGAATGAAAAATCTAAGTCATTGGGATTAGAAATCCAGCACAGTTGTCATGGTACTGAAACACCTCCACATTTATTTCAAACTTCTTTTTAGTTGTTTTGGATTTTAAATGAAAAGCACACATTTTATTTTCATTCTGTTACTGCTTTCTCTTTTGATGTTTCAAATTAAGTTTTCAAAGGAATTTAAATAGATAGAAGAAAAATTTAAGTCACCTCATTCATGTATAGAGGAAGAAAATATAGATAATAAAAACTCAAAACTTCTAAGCCAGATATGCCCAAGGGAGAGAGAATGGGTCATAGTGAAGGAAAAGGGGAACATAGTTAGGAGATTTAACACTAACCCAGACGAGAGCCCTGGGGTCATTGAAGATGGGATTCTGAGCAGCAGAGTTTTGTTCAATCTTTGTACTTCCTTAGGAATGATTTACCATCTCTGGCAAGTAAACCTGAAACTCAGCTGATTACACTAGGTTGGAAGACATTAGAATCCAGAAGCCTATTGAATGAGTCTAGTGTTATTCTGGGCCTTAGGAGAGAAAAGTGGATGATAATATGCTATTGGTAGAATAAAGGGGAGAGAATGGAATCAATAATGTTTCTAAAAACAAGGGACCATGAGAATTTGGGTTTAGGGAAGAAAAAAGGTTATAGTATCTTGGTACACTGGGGTTGTTCTCTGAAACAACTGTATCCTAAACCATATTCCCTTCCATATCATTCTCCCTGCCTGTATTCATTTCTTTCTTTCTTTCTTTTTTTTTTTTGACAGGCAGAGTGGATTGTGAGAGAGACAGACAGAGAGAAAGGTCTTCCTTTGCCGTTGGTTCACCCTCCAATGGCCGCCGAGGCCTGCGCGCTGTGGCCGGCACACTGCGCTGATCCGATGGCAGGAGCCAGGTGCTTCTCCTGGTCTCCCATGGGGTGCAGGGCCCAAGCACTTGGGCCATCCTCCACTGCACTCCCTGGCCACAGCAGAGAGCTGGCCTGGAAGAGGGGCAACCGGGACAGAATCCGGCGCCCTGACCGGGACTAGAACCCGGTGTGCCGGCGCCGCTAGGCGGAGGATTAGCCTAGTGAGCCATGGCGCCGGCCTGTATTCATTTCAAATTATGACCCCTAAACCTCCATAATTACATTTGTAGTTCTAAACTCTAAAAAGATAACTGAATTGAAGATATTTCATATTCTCATTCAGTGACAAAAACTTACAGAAATGGCGAGAGACTATTTATTGTCTTTATTTATCTGCATTGTGATAATGTTCACATAGCTCCTTGCTGACGTTGTGTTTGGCTAAGTGTTCTGGCTCTGATGTAATGAGGTACAAGTACTGCATGGCTTATGTGGTATTTATATCCTATTGCCTTGCTAAAGACCAAGAAGATCTGTCCTTTGAAATACATTTGACTTTCAGATTTTCGGATATGACATTGTGGCCATGAAGCTTTACACTTCCATAAATGGTGAGCAGAGGTGCAAAACATGTAGAAGCTGAACATTTCACTTAGGATCTGTGCTCTAAGGTGTCTGTCTTCTATTCTTACATGTGACCAGTGAAATCCTTGATGATGGGTGTTGTGTTGCTTATCAGGAAAGAAAGCCTTTGAAGATGCCTCCGAACTTTGGTCCTAGTAAGCCATGAGGCACATATCTGCCCTGGAAAATGATGCTATAACTCATAGAACCCCCAATAAACATGACCAAAATAGATCCTCACCACGACACGTGGTAATTAAACTTACCACAGTGAAACATAAAGAAAACATCCTAAAATGTGCAAGAGAGAAACATCAGATTACTCTCAGAGGATCTCCAATCAGACTCACAGCTGGCTTCTCATCAGAAACACTACAGGCTAGGAGGGAATGGCGAGACATAGCACAGGTGCTAAGAGAGAAAAATTGCCAGCCCAGAATATTATATCCTGCCAAGCTCTCATTTGTGAATGAAGGTGAAATAAAGACCTTTCATAGCAAACAGAAATTGACTTTGTGGCCACTCGTCCGGCCTTGCCAAAGATACTTAAAGATGTGCTACACTCAGAAACACAGAAACACGGCCATCAATGTGAAAGAAGGGAAAGGAAGAACACCTACCAGTAAAAGAGCATGGGAAGCTCAAAGCATATACTAGAAAATATCTCCGGGGAAATGGCAGGGCAAAGTCACTATGTATCAATAGTCACATTAAACGTTAATGGACTTAATTCTTCAGTTAAAAGACACGGAATGGCTGATTGGCTCAAAGAACACAACGCAACTATTTGTTGCCTACAAGAAACACATCTCTCTAACAAAGATGCATGCAGACTGAAAGTGAAAGGTTGGAAAAAGATATTCCATGCCAACAGAAACCAAAAAAAAAGCAGGTGTAGCCATATTAATATCAGACAAAATAAACTTTAATACAAAAACTGTTAAGAGAGACAAAGAGGGACACTATATAATGATTAAGGGTTCAATTCAACAGGAAGATGTAACTATTATAAATGTATATGCACCTAATTACAGGGCACCGGTCTATTTAAAAGATATGTTAAGGGACTTAAAGGGAGACTTAGATTCCAATACAATAGTACTGGGGGACTTCAATACTCCACTCTCAGAAATAGACAGATCATCCGGACAGAAGATCAACAAGGAAACAGCAGATTTAATTGACACTATTGCCCAAGTGGATCTAACAGATATCTACAGAACTTTCAATCCTACAGCTAAAGACTTCACATTCTTCTCAGCAGTGCATGGAACCTTCTCTAGGATTGATCACATACTAGGTCATAAAGCAAGTCTCAGCAAATTTAAAAGAATTAGAATCATACCATGCAGCTTCTCAGACCACAGTGGAATGAAGCTGGAAATTAGCAACTCAGGAATCCCTACAGCATATGCAAATGCATGGAGACTGAACAACATGCTCCTGAATGAACACTGGGTCATTCAAGAAATCAAAAGAGAAATCAAAAACTTTCTGGAAGTAAATGAAGACAACAACACAACATATCAAAACTTATGGGATACAGCAAAAGCAGTATTGAGAGGCAAATTTATAGCAATAGGTGCCTATATCAAGAAATTGGGAAGGTACCAAATAAATGAGCTTTCAGCGCATCTCAAGGACCTAGAAAAACTGCAGCAAACCAAACCCAAATCTAGTAGGAGAAGAGAAATAATTAAAATCGGAGAAGAAATTAACAGGATTGAATCCAAAAAAACACTACAAAAAATCAGCCAAGGGAGAAGCTGGTTTTTTGAAAGAATAAACAAAATTGACACCCCATTGGCACAACTAACTAAAAAAAGAAGAGAAAAGACCCAAATCAATAAAATCAGAAATGAAAAAGGAAACGTAACAACAGACACCAAAGAAATAAAAAGAATCATCAGAAATTACTACAAGGACCTGTATGCCAGCAAACAGGAAAACCTATCAGAAATGGATAGATTCCTGGACACATGCAATCTACCAAAATTGAACCCTGAAGACATGGAAAACCTAAATAGACCCATAACTGAAACAGAAATTGAAACAGTAATAAAGGCCCTCCCAACAAAGAAAAGCCCAGGACCAGATGGATTCACTGCTGAATTCTACCAGACATTTAGAGAAGAACTAATCCCATTTCTTCTCAAACTATTCAGAAGAATCGAAAAAGAGGGAATCCTCCCAAATTCTTTCTATGAAGCCAGCATCACCTTAATCCCTAAGCCAGAGAAAGATGCAGCACTGAAAGAAAATTACAGACCAATATCCCTGATGAACATAGATGCGAAAATCCACAATAAAATTCTGGCCAATAGAGTACAACAACACATCAGGAAAATCATCCACCCAGACCAAGTGGGATTCATCCCTGGTATGCAGGGATGGTTCAAGATTCGCAATTCAATCAATGTGATTCACCACATTAACAGACTGCAAAAGAAAAACCATATGATTATCTAAATTGATGCAGAGAAAGCATTTGATAAAATTCAACACCCTTTTGTGATGAAAACTCTAAGCAAATTGGGTATAGAAGGAACATTCCTCAATATAATCAAAGCAATTTATAAAAAACCCATGGCCAGCATCCTATTGAATGGGGAAAAGTTGGAAGCATTTCCATTGAGATCTGGCACCAGGCAGGGATGCCCACTCTCACCACTGCTATTTAACATAGTTCTGGAAGTTTTAGCCAGAGCCATCAGACAAGAAAAAGAAATCAAAGGAAAACAAATTGAGAAGGAAGAAGTCAAACTATCCCTCTTTGCAGACGATATGATTCTTTACTTAGAGGATCCAAAGAACTCTACTAAGAGACTATTGGAACTCATAGAGGAGTTTGGCAATGTGGCAGGATATAAAATCAATGCACAAAAATCAACAGCCTTTGTGTACACAAGCAACGCCATGACTGAGAAACAACTGCTAAGATCAATCCCATTCACAATAGCTACAAAAACAATCAAATACCTTGGAATAAACTTAACCAAAGATGTTAAAGATCTCTACGATGAGAATTACAAAATCTTAAAGAAGGAAATAGAAGAGGATACCAAGAAATGGAAAAATCTTCCATGCTCATGGATTGGAAGAATCAATATCATCAAAATATCCATTCTCCCAAAAGCATTTTATAGATTCAATGCAATACCAATCAAGATACCGAAGACATTCTTCTCATATCTAGAAAAAATGATGCTGAAATTCATATGGAGGCACAAGAGACCTCGAATAGCTAAAGCAATCTTGTACAACAAAAACAAAGCCGGAGGCATCACAATACCAGATTTCAGGACATACTACAAGGCAGTTGTAATCAAAACAGCATGGTACTGGTACAGAAACAAATGGATACGCCATTGGAACAGAATTGAAACACCAGAAATCAACCCAAACATCTACAGCCAACTTATATTTGATCAAGGATCTAAAACCAATTCCTGGAGCAAGGACAGTCTATTCAATAAATGGTGCTGGGAAAACTGGATTTCCACGTGCAGAAGCATGAAGCAAGACCCCACCTTTCACCTTACACAAAAATCCACTCAACATGGATTAAAGACCCACTGTTGGTGGGAATGCAAACTGGTCAAGCCACTATGGAAGTCAGTCTGGAGATTCCTCAGAAACCTGAATATAACCCTACCGTTCGACCCAGTCATCCCACTCCTTGGAATTTACCCAAAGGAGTTTAAATTGGCAAACAAACAAGCAGTCTGCACCCTAATGTTTATTGCAGCATAATTCACAATAGCTAAGACCTGGAACCAACCTAAATGCCCATCAACGGTAGACTGGATAAAGAAATTATGGGATATGTATTCTTTAGAATACTATACCGCAGTAAGAAACAACGAAATCCAGTCATTTGCAACAAAATGGAGGAATCTAGAACACATCATGCTGAGTGAAGTAAGCCAGTCCCAAAGGGACAAATACCATATGTTCTCTCTGATCGGTGACAACTGACTGAACACCAGAAAGGAAACCTCCTGAAGTGAAATGGAAACTATAAGAAACGGTGACTTGATCAGCATAGCCCTGACTGTTAATGAAAAACTTAATACATTATCCCTCTTAGTAGTTTTTTTGTCTGTTCTACTTAATATGACTGGTTTAATTCTGTAATTATCAGACAGTTATTCTTAAGTGTTGAAAATTAACTGAAATGTGATCCCTGTTAAACATAAGAGTGGGAATAAGAGAGGGAAGAGATGTATAATTTGGGACATGCTCAAGCTGACTTGCCCCAAATGGTAGAGTTAGAAACATACCAGGGGATTCCAATTCAATCCCATCAAGGTGGCATGTACCAATGCCATCTCACTAGTCCAAGGGGTCAATTTCAGTTCACAATTGTTCACAATGAAAGGACTAAGAGTCAAAGGGAGCACATAAACAAGTCTAGTACCTGCTAACACTAACCGATAGAATAAATAAAGGGGAGAGTGATCCAACATGGGAAGCGAGAAACTCAGCAGACTCATAGAATGGCAGATGTCCTAAATAGCACTCTGGCCTTAGAATCAGCCCTAAAGCCATTCGGATCTGGCTGAAAAGCCCATGAGAGTATTTCAGGCATGGAAAGCCAAGACACTCTGGCAAAAAGATCTCTGTGAGTGAGATCCCAGTGGAAAGAACAGGTCTTCAAAGAAGGAGGTACTTTTCTCTGAAGGGAGGAGAGAACCTCCACTTTGACTATGACCTTGTCTAAACAAGATAAGAGTTGGAGGACTCAAAAGGCTACCATAGCCTTGGAAACTCATGACTGGAGCAAAGGGAGATTACTGATGCCATAGACAGGAGTGTCAGTTTGTTAAGTCAACAACAGGAGTCACTGTGCACTTACTCCTCATGTAGGATCTCTGTCCTTAATGTGCTGTACATTGAGATTTAATGCTATAACGAGTACTCAAACAGTATATTTCACTTTGTGTTTCTATGGGGGTGCAAACTGTTGAAATCTTTACTTAATGCATACTAAACTGATCTGTAAAAAAAAAAAAAAGGAAATTATCAATTCCCAACTTGACTCTCACTGGGATTAAACATGACAATAGGTCTGATCTGATTTCATCATCATTTAAAAAAATCATCTATTATTTTTCACTTTATGTTTCTGTGTGGGAGCAAACTGTTGAAATCCTTACTTAATGTATACTAAGCTGATCTTCTGTATATTAAGATAATCGAAAATGAATCTTGATGTGAATGGAAGCGGAGAGGGATTGGGAAAGGGGAGGGTTGCGGGTGGGAGGGACGGTATGGGGGGAAGCCATTGTAATCCATAAGTCGTCCTTTGGAAATTTATATTCATTAAATAAAAGTTAAAAAAAATTCTGAAGGAAAAAAAAAGATGCTATAAGAGTGCTGCTCCCTTTATTCACTGACCACTCTGCCAGAACCAGAGAACATGTTCATTTTTTTATTTTTTAATTTATTTTTAATTTAAAAATTTTTTTTGACAGGCAGAGTTAGACAGTGAGAGAGAGAGAGACTGAGAGAAAAGTCTTCCTGCCATTGGTTCATCCCCCTAAATGGCTGCGTTGGCCGGCACGCTGTGCTGATCCAAAGCCAGGAGCCAGATGCTTCCTCCTGGTCTCCCATGCAGGTGCAGGGCCCAAGCACCTGGGCCATCCTCCACTGCCTTCCTGGGCCATAGCAGGGAGCTGGACTGGAAGAGGAGCAACCGGGACAGAACCAGTGCCCCAACCGGGACTAAAACCCAGGGTGCCGGTTTCGCAGGTGGATGATTAGCCTAGTGAGCAGCAGCACCAGCCTGAGAACATGTTCATTTAAATATGGCCAGATGAGTCATTTCCTGTCCCTCTTCTTTGGGATATTGTACTTTCATGATTATCTCAAGGATTGTGATGAAAGTGAAATGCTGTCATTTGTACAGTGCTTTGCCAAATGCTGGGAATAAATTCACCAAGGAGCTGTCACTGTTACTTTGATTGCTTTTATTAACACTGCCCCAAGTTCATCCTTGTGTAATGTCAAGTAGGACATGTAACCTTGTGAAGTTTTAGTTTATGATTTTTAAGATTAAGAATTTGATGAAAAACTATTTCTGCCACAGAATATGAAGTTCACAGACAGCTGAAAATAAATTTCTTAATACCTTTGATTCATCTCAGAAACTGATATGTTACACAGTGTAGTGGGAAGATGCTGTGGGATGCAGGACCAGCTTCATTTAGTGGAACTCAGCTACCATTCAGTAGGGCTTAGCCAATAAGAAAATTTGTCAGGCAATGTTACATAAAAACTGCAGATGGAGCCTGTTCAATTTGTAGATAAACTGAATGCAAATATGAAAAAGGTACCATCAGGTTTTCAAGTCTTCCCAAATGGATGGTCACTGTGTATATGTGAGGGGTTCACATCAACAATTTGTGTCACTTGATATCTTGAAAAGGCTCTTGTGGGGCTAGAATGAAACCTGTAAGTGACAAGTGTAAAATGGCATGTCAAGTGATAACAAAACAGGGAAACCTTACTTAGAGGAAGACTGAAGATGTAAGGGCATCTGACTGGCTTCAGTTGAATGAAATGCCCATGTGTTGCCTGTGTCAGGGCAAAGAAGCCAGCACAACCCTGGAGTGCAACAAGAAGTCTATTGAGATGGAATACAAAACATTTACAAATGAATCCTTCACTTAGTGTTGCATTGTGCTTTTGGTCCTAACATATCACTGGATCTAGAAAGAAACTGCTGGAGGGTCTGAGAACAACATACGGCACTTCATAATTCAACATCTCTCAGTGGTGGAATCCTGTTGTGACATAGAGAAAAGGTGGGGTGACTTTATGACAACCTTAAAGTAAAAATTGTTAGGAAATTAGTTCTGCCTTAATCTTTCCTTAGACCCAGAGGAATGAACCATGAGAAACATGCTTAGAAGTTTTTGGGGAAAAATGGCACTATGGTTTCAGCGCAGGGGTACACAACTCTGGAGACTGTGGTTAGTGAGTGGTCCCCTTAAGAGGAGACTTTAAGAGGACCAGTCAGCCTTGTGTATCAGCCAGGTGGCCTAGGCAACTGGAAGGCAGTGGCTCCCTGGATTCCATGACACCCCCCGTGTTCTGATTCTGTGACAGTAACTGCCAAGTTACCTGGAAGCGAAGCCCTACTTCTCTCACTCTGTCAGATGTTGAGCAATTAGCAGGAGCTTCTGCTCTGAGCACCTGACCGAATCGAGATTAAAGGCATTGAAGTGTTGTGGGGTGTTTCCTAACACTAAGTCCCACCACAGTTACCGTCATCTGTCAATCCTACTGAACATGGTTTCGTTTTCTTTGTTTAACTCATCCTTTTCTTGGGTGTCTTCTTCCTAGTTCCTGGATATACTTATTTTGCTACAAGCCTCAGTATGGCACTGCCTCTTGGTCCCTCACGTGACATGAGGGTAGAAACCAGGGAGCAATTGCGTTCTCAACTGGCCAGGAGCCAACAAAAATCAAAAGAACTGAAGGAGAAACTTCTTAGATCTGAGGCTATGTCCTACCTCCTGGCAAACCACCTTCGGGAACACAGTAAGTTCTTTTTTTTTTCTTTTTTCCCTATTTTTAATGTTTTATTTCTAAGAAAGAAATATGAATAAAATACAGAAATTTGTTAATATGGATTGAATGGGAAGCACACCAGCATTCATGTTTCCATCCTACAATAAGTTCTATAGGTTCAGTGTCACCAAAATGTTGAGTATTTGATTTCAACTCTTGGAGAAATGACCTGTTTTCTAACCCTGATTCTTCTCTTCTTTCCACCAAATAAGTTACATTGCTACCATGCTCTGAGAAGGATTAAAATTAGTATTTTTAACATCAGTTGGTTGAGCATGGAATAACTGAGACACAAGTTCAGAAAATCTTCCACGTTTTCACTGAGCTGTAGGGTGGGAATTCTTCTTCGCTTATTTGCTGCAAATATAGTGTTTTCTCAAACTTTGTTTTAAATTTTTACCAATAAATTGGTGGGAATTATATACTACTATAGTTTTAATGTTTTTGTGACTACTTTAGAGTTTTCTTAACATAAGTAAAGTTGAACATCTTTTCATTTGATTATTGTATATAGCCCTTGTCTGTTCTCTGGCTGATTATGGCCCACTTATGCTTTATTTCTTGAACTCTTTATTAAGTAGAGCCCCTAAGCCTTTGACAGTAGTGTAAATGAAAAATGTGTTATCTGGAGCTGGCACTGTGGTGTAGTGGGTAAAACTACCACCTTCAGTGCCAGCATCCCACATGGGCACTGGTTTGAACCCGGCTGCTCCACTTCCAATCCAGGTCTCTGCAGTGGCCTAGGAAAGCTGTGGAAGATGGCCCAAGTTCTTGGGCTTCTGCACCTGTGTGGAAGACCTGCAGGAAGAGCCTGGCTCCTGGCTTCAGATTGGCACAGCTCCAGCCATTGTGGCCATTTGGGGAGTGAGCCAGTGGATGGATTATCTCTCTCTCTCTCTGCCTCTGCCTCTCTATAACTCTGCTTTTCAAATAAATACTAAATCTTCAAAAATATTATCTGAAAAAATAAGAAATAAAACATTATTTTTTTATAAAAAGAAGGGATTAGAAAAAATTTCCTGTACAAAAATAAATAAAATGGAAATTATCAAGTGTCCTGTCCCCGGGAAACAGAGAAACAAAGATGAGGAAATCCACACCAAGAGCAGGGTGGTGTAGCTCCTCCTCCTCAAAGACACCGACCTTAGCAGCCCGCCCACCTTTCCACTGAGGCAGACGTGTGTGCACGTGTGTCTTTTCTCAGACTGTGAAGAGCATAAACATCTAATTGAACCAGTGCTGAGGAAGAAGCCGCAGTTCCTGGAGGGGCAGCTGGCAGCGGAGCTGAGACCTGTGAGGCATCACAAGTAAGGAGGCCCTCGGGCTAGGCAGGTGGAAAGGTGAATGCATCTCTGAGGTGGGGCAGCTCAGCTGGGGGAAGCAGAGCTGATGTGGCCTGGAGAAGGGCAGGGATGTACTTGGTGGGCTGACACCTCAAACAGATTGATAAAGCAGGCAGACCACAAAAAACACCAAACTGTGGGCTGCAATGGTTACTGAGAACCTCTTTTCGACTTTAAAGACAAGGCACTTATTGACTTGAAATTCACATACAAAACTGAACAAGGTGAACCACACAGAGACATTCTGTATCCACACAATGCTGTAGGGTCCCCTTCTCATTTACTGTATCTCCATCACCTCCTGACCGTGGACGCTGTCTTCGGTTCTCCCGGTCAGTCGTTATTTCTGATGAAAGCCGCTGTGCCTGGCGTAGTTCTGTGTGTACCTTTGTGTCCACGCACTACACACTGCATCTTTGTAAGGAAAGGTCTGAAGTGAGGGACTGAAGGAACGTGTTGATGAGGGAGCTGAGGAAGAACCTTGGTGTTGTTCACGGAACCAAAGTTTAACCCAATGTCCAGTAACCTCGCAAGGTCTGTCTCTCACAGCGAGGAATCTCTTGCTCCCCCTTTCCTCTTCCCTGCTGTGGGCATTTTCCCACACGGGCAGTGACGCTGCTTGGAGGGCCATGTGAGCACGTTCTCACCAAATCTCTGCAGAGACACAGAGAACGCATCATGGGTCCCTTTCCACCTTCACGTGTTTTTTCCTGTCTCACCTTAGGAAACGTGGCGTTCAAATTCAAGAGCAGGCCCAGGAGCTGACCCAGTTACCGCGGAAGTCACGGGAAGGGAGAGCTCTTTCTCAGCTCACCCATCAAAATCTCCAGGCCCTCCTCACCCAGCAGGACCCTGACAGCTGCCGGAGGCAGCAACTACTCGCTGAGCTACTCAGGCTGACAGAGCACCTTGCTGGCACACTCAGCACAGGTAAGGTGGCCAAGGCTCAGAGACTCAAGGTAGTCTCGGGCTGGCATCAGCTCCACACTTCTTCAAAGAGCAATCACCAACAGTCTACGTTTGTGTAAGCAATTCTGTAAACATGTCTCTAAACATTTGTGGCCATGTTGTGGTCAGAGGTGCTTGTGTAGGAAGAAAGAGTGGGAAATGCAGAGCTTTGAAGGTCCCAGTGCTGCGAAGATCTCCCCCCTCCCTGATGAAATTGTCTTTGGAGCAGGAGGCTCGATTTTATTTGCATTAAATACAGTGAACTTTTTTTTTTTTTTGACCGGCAGAGTGGACAGTGAGAGAGAGAGAGAGAGTCTTCCTTTTCCGTTGGTTCACCCCCCAATGGCCGCTGTGGCTGGCGCACCGCGCTG